CACCTTTAGTAGAAGGTAACAGTGTTCCGTGTGCCTTTGGTGTTTACTCATGCCGGCCACATGATCACAGAGACGTTTTTGGACAGCACTGGCTCTTCGGCTTTGAAACGGAGATGAGCATTGCCCACTAGAGTCAGAAACATATGTGCAAGAGGAACCTTTACCCTTATGTTTAGATAGGGTTAGAGCTACTAGTCTTAATTGGGGGGTCACTAAGAGATAGTTTCTAAATAAAACATGTGATCACAGCACTTATGAGAGCATTTCCCATTTGGTTGTTAAGCAAGTCGCCACTGGTCATTAAGGAAGTCATTACATGACAGAAACTTGTGGTTTTACTACTGCCTTCTCTGTTGACTTTGCTCATCGGAAGCTTGCTGTGAAGTACACAAATGGCAATCATGACATGGGCAACTATAACCATCATAAACACCTGCCAGTCGCGAAGTGCTAAATGTTGATCACACGACTATAGAGATGGTGAACCATTGTAAACATGAGGATTGTCCAATTACATTCTCAGTACCATTATAACTTTGAACTGTTGCTAAACAGGGCAGGCATTAAGCAAGGTTTATCTGAAAATTCCAGAGGTGTAAGTCTCTGGAAAAAAACTGGGATCCATGAATGTTCTCAGTGCCTGGAATCTAAGAGAATTTCTTAGCTGGCTGTCACAGCAAGCTGGTAGAAATTTTTCCAGATGCCCAAAAACTTCAGACGTCTTTGAGAAAATATGGCACACAACCATTACCTGCTCACATTACTACTGCCACAATATGAAGAGATGAAAGCACATGAGAGTTGGGTAAATTTCTACTCCATGTGCTTTACCTGAAGTTTGACAGGCACAGCAATTACAGAATTGCTTTCAAAGTAGGAAGTAGGAGACCTGGCCCCTCTCTCTGTGTTAGGTGAAGCTCTCACTGGTAGGAAAACCATAGATAATGAAAGAGAATGCTGGGAATTGTAGCCCAGCAATGTCCAGATAGCCAAGAGGTTCTCTATTGCACCCAACGTATCAGGCTGCCATGTATTGTAATCAAATATCAATTGAGCTGCCAGAAATCTCTACTGCAAAAACAAGACAGAGCACATATGGAATAATTTAAGTGTTTTATTTCAAAATCCACTTCCCACCAACCTTGTGAAACAGACACCCATAGGCCAAAAGGAACAGGGGGGAAAAAATCAACCCACAATAGAATGAGATACAAACAGGGCAAAATTCTATCCCATGGTTGACAAAATTTACCCCAAAAGGAGGGGGGAAATTGAGGCAAAGTAGTTCAATACATCCATTTTCCAGACAGGACTCTGCAGCAGTTACAATGCTTCCAAATAAGGAACAAAAATGTGCCTATTGATACAATATATACAGACAAGATCAATCGGAACCCAGTCCACAAAACAGCCTCCCCCTTTCTTAAACATGTCTTAGAACACAGCAAAGTGCATTTGTTTTTATAAAGCATCTTTTTTTTTCTTTTCCCCAGACCCAAGTTTTTAAAATTGTCTTGCAAGTCTGGATTCCATTTATGTTATGCAATTCTGAAAATAAATTACAGCAATATTTTAATAAATTAAACACATGCATACAAAAAAGCAAATTGGATCAAAACAGAATCAGGAAACATCTTACAATGCAATGAAATTGTACTTTGTGAAATGAACTTTGTTGGGAGTTATAAGCAAGATTTAGAGTCATACTAAACTTCAGAATGCATATACCACCAGCTTTTTGTATGTTGCTGCTGAGGCATACGCATTAAGTTTTGTGTTTTAAATCAGTTCACTGATTTGTGTTGGCAGTTTTATGAGCACTTTTATTTTAGGTCATAGGAAAGCTATAAGGATTGGTCCCTGTAATTGACATTATTGCATGACATGCTTTTGTATGAGTGTCATACAACCTTATTAACTATAATGTACTCTAATATCCATAGAGCCCAGAGACTATTTGTTTATTGTCTTCAAATAGAACAAATGACATAGAACTTTATTAGTGAATCTGCAACATTTCTACTCCATTTATTTATTAGATCAGCCCTCTGTAATCTGGTGCCTCTTAGAAGATTACTATCATCCCCAAATAGAATAATTTGAAATGGAATGAACTCCTCAAGCTGATCTAATCAGGGGAGGCTGATTTAGGTCCTGAATCACTTCCAAATGAAATTAGTAATCAATAGTTACCAGTTAAGAGGACTGATAAACCTGTGTCTTTGTATATTCCAATCATTTAATAAACTGTAACACCTGTTTCTATAAACAGGTGAATAACAATGGAGTACATTCATTGCAAATATGAAGCTAAATAAAGCAGTTTCAGTTTGAAGTCTGCAAAAAAAAATACACTTGTAATCTAATTTCCACAAGTAGGCCCTTACTTCATTTCAATAACGAAAGAAAATCATTTCATTGGCCAGAAACATAATATGGGGGGCAGTTGGGAGCTGGACTATTATTTATGGTTGAAACCATCACAGATTTATAAACAGGGATCACCCCTAATACTAACACCCCCATAATGTGGATTCTTTCCATTTCAGCTTAGCATCTTGGGGGGGGAGGGGAGCCAATAATATTTGTCAACCCTGGTTTATGGCTTGATATAATGCATGAATGGAGCCAGTTATGGCTTGCTCATCGAAGTATATAGTTAAACGAAACATGGCTTAGTGCAATGTATGAACCAGTGTACTGTTCAGCAGGCCGTTCATCATTCTTTCACCTTCCCATCCAGGAAACAAAACAGAAAGAGATCTGACAAGGCTATTTTAAAGGGACAAAAATCAAGAAGCACTTTTGAAGAACAGAAATATTTCAAGCTGGGTATTTAACTACATCTGCATTGTGCATTCTTATTCATACAAAAGACTACACCTCTCACCCAGGGCAAACAGTGTCACAATTTATTTTCACTCTGCATGATGCAGAGATCCATGAACCCCTTTTTAAGAACTCCTTTGGTAATGTAAAATTTAAAGAATGAAGGCAACTTGAATTAATTTATTTTTATCACTTTTCAGGGAAGGAATATTATTTGTGCCATGATTTGAAAAAGAAGAAAAAAAGGAAAGGAAAGGAAATAATCTGTTGAGAAAACCTTAAGTCCCACTTAAAAATAATATATTTAAGAAAAAAATATTCA